GTGACCTTAAAGTCAGTTCCGCCATATGCTTTAAATCTATGCTTTCCCAACGGCAATACCAATTTCCATCGTCTTTTGTTTGCTAAGTGCTCTTTGACCCTGATATTCAATGCTCTGCCCGTCTCACCTATATAGGACGCTCCGCAACTTGAACACACTAGTTGGTATACGACCCCTGACTTCGCACAATCTCCTAATTTTCGATCCTTGCGCTCACGGCGTGCGGTTGTGCCGTCGCTCTCTCTCTAGCTCCTTCCTCCTATACCATATTTTGAGCGATTTTTCATCGTTTTTTTTGCTTCCTCTCTATTTTGCTTTTGCCCTTGTCCTCTTACGGAGTTTAGCGTGGTAGGATCTGCCTTTTTGCCAGCTCTGTAGGTAATTTTTTTAGACTTGTCGATATCGCCGCATTTTTTTTTCTCTCGCATCGGTCATCGATTGCTAGGTCAGTATCCAATATGCCACTTAAGTCAACTCGCGCGTCCACCAAGCGGGGTTCAAGCTTTCAAGCAACCTCGCCTACATCTACTTTGCTCCAACCTAGCCAAATTACTCCTAATTACAAAGACCTCAGTGCTGGCGAACTGGTAGCGCGCATTGCAGAGAAAAATAAGGATCCAGAGATCTCTGAGATGTTAGACTGCTTGTCTCAAAAGTTGGTAGCTGACGTCCAGCAGATCCTGGAAGCGGATACTAGGTCGCGCAGTGTTGTTATTAGCGGGTTGCCTGAGGCCCTTGCTGGTCTTTCGGCCTCGGAGGTTTTTGATGATCTCTAAGTGAAAGTCAATGATCTCCTTGGGTCGCGTGGATGTTCACTGCCGCCCTGTTGATGTTTACAGGATGGGTAGGATTAGTAGTGATCGACCGAAATTGGTCAAAGCTGTCCTCCCCTCTAAATTCTATTGGGGTCGGGCACTGGCCAACGCGCGGTTACTTCGATCGAGCAGCTACCCCCACGTTTTCATTCGCCGTAGTACGACTGCGGACGAAAGGAAACGTGAGTATGATTTGAGACAAATAGCCCGCGAGCGGAATAAGGGTAGGTCAGAGCGGGTGGTATATCGAGGAGAACTTGTACGTTAAAGCGATATTGGCCACGGTCGGGGAAACGCATAGATTGGCATGGTGATTCTGAATTATTGAGCTGCTAATTATTTAATGCACGAAGTCTGATGAATAAACTATCTCATTTGCATTTACTTTTATTGTCTTCTATGCCCGATATGGTATTTATTACTGAGACTTGGCTCACCACCAAAGTTTCTGACTCTGAATTGCTGGGGGCTTTTCCCTACATTGTTGTGCGGTTGGATAGAAATAAATGCAAAGGTGGGGGAGTTTGCATTTTGGTCAAAGCATCGCTCAATGTTAGAGTTGTCAAATACACAAAGAATTTCAAAGCCGATGTTCTCTCTTTCGATTTGCTTACTAACAGTTCGTTCCAAATCAGATTTACTCTTGTCTACCGCCCTCCTATTTCTAAACGTGATGATGATGAGTCGCTTATCGATCTGTTGTATGACTTAGTGGCTGGGCAAGACTCTACTGTCATTCTTGGCGATTTAAATTTGCTGATAAATTGGACAGATCTTAAGCCTCTGAATCACATATCATCACGATTTCTCAAGTTCTTTGAGGAAAGTGGTTTCACGCAGTATGTTAACTCACCAACTCATTCTGATCATGTTTTGGATGTCATTCTTACGATCACCACACATCCCTTGACCAAAGTGCTTCCTCCCTTTGCCTCATCTGATCATGCCATGGTGTCTTTCACTTTTCCCTTGAATATCTTTGAGGTGAAAGTGCCCATGCCTGACTTTCTTGATATCAATTATGAGGCGTTGAATAATTACCTCTCTGCTATCGATTGGTTGGCAATTTTTGACCAGTATACATCCTCCACAGATATTTATCGCAGATTTTGTACCAAACTTTATGAATCTTTAGCAAAATTTGTTCCATTTCATTTTCCTAAAAGTAACATAGTCAAACTACCGAAGCAACTGCAAGCCCTCAACATGCAGAAACAGAGACTTTTCCATGAGCTACCCTATCCGCTTGAAAACTCTTTGTATAAGAAAGTCTGTCGGGACATTGAAGCTCACATGAGAAAATACCTTGCCTACCGGGAGCGTAAACTAGCTGCTAGGAATAACATGAAAACTATGTACTCCTATATACGATATAAAATGAAAGCCAATGGCAAGCTCCCCACTTTGATGAACGACTCCGGTGCAACTTTTGTCTCTGACCTTGATAAAGCAAGTGCTTTAGCCAATAATTTCTCGAATGTTTTTACTAGTGATAATTTCAATGAAAACACCCCTTTGCATGGATTGTGTCCTGTCCCACCTCACTTGAGTGATGTTTTCTTTCATCCTTCTGAAGTTTACACTGTTTTGAAAACTCTCAGACCATCCATAACTGAAACCTATGATGGAATATCGCAGATCATTTATAGAAAATGTGCATCTGCTCTGGCTGCACCGCTTGCCCATATATTCAATATATCAATGCTTCTAAGTGAGGTGCCTCAGTGTTGGAAAGAAGCCATTGTGACGGCTATTCCAAAAGTTTCCGGTACAAACAAGATAAGCAGCTATCGTCCTATCAGTTTATTGCCTACACCAGTGAAAGTAATGGAAAAGATCATAAGGGCCAGACTGCTATCATGGCTCAATAGGTTTCATGTTATTCCTATAGAACAGCATGGTTTCATTCCCGGGGCGTCTACCACTACTAATTTAACGGATAGTTTATTTGATTGGGCTTTGGCATTGAACAAGGGAAAATTCATTGATGTTATTTATGTTGACCTATCAAAGGCTTTTGATAAAGTTAGCCATGTGAAACTTCTGAGTAAACTAAAGTATTTGGGTATAGATGGCAAACTACTGGATTGGATTGCCTCGTACCTAGCTGACAGACATCTGACGGTTAGGGTTGGTCATTGCCACTCGCAAAGGCACATATGCACCAGTGGAGTACCTCAGAGGGGTGTCCTTTCCCCACTTTTGTTTCTGCTTTATACAATTGATGTGCCAAGTGCTGTCATCACGTCCACACACATTAAAGTCAAGTTGTACGCTGATGATATAAAGATCTATGGGATTTATGGGGATGAAAACTTTCAGGAGGTAAGATCCTCTCTGCAAGCATCGCTATGTAGACTTGCAGATTGGGCCTCTGCTTGGTGCTTACCAATCAACCTTGAAAAATCCTTTTCTGTGCACCTAGGCGGTGGCCGAAAGCAGACGTACAAGTTGAATGGTGTGGACTTGAGACAGAGTAGTTTCATCTATGATTTGGGTGTTCGTTTCAATGAGTCTCTGGATTTTACCGAGCATATTAATGAGACTGTTTGGCTTTTGGCTCGGCCTTCCGGACACTTCGAAATGTCCGCACGGATAATCCAACGATTATGTAACGACTTTATAAATCCTTTGTTTTACCTAAACTTGAATACTGCTCACAACTCTGGAGTCCTAGTACAGCTAAACATATTTAAAAGCTTGAAAGAGTTCAGAGAGTTTTTACTAGAATTGTGATGAGGAGATGTATCCCCGATTGTTCCGCTCTGAGTTACCATGACCGCTTGAAGAAGCTGGGACTTGAATCTCTTTTTTGCAGAAGAGCTAAATCTGACCTCTTGTTTTGCTTCAGAGTTCTGAAACGTGAAGTCAAGTTGATTCCCAGCGATTACTGGATCTTTATGCCTGCTTAACGATAGACACGGTGGTTTTAACTTGCATTACCCAAAAGTTGAGAGGAAACATGCCAACCTGTTATTCAATCATATTTTTTGTCGGGGAGCTAGATGGTTACGGTGCATACCTCGCGAAGTTTTGAGTGCTGACAACCGTGAAGCTTTCAAAAGGAAACTGAGGAAAGTTGACATTTGCCAATTATTGAACATTTCTCTGTGATTGTCCCTGGTCTGGTTTCATTACAGGTTTTCCTGTTTGTGGTCTATTTCTTGCTGGCCCTCGCTTGTCGACTCATGTGTTTTGGACTTTGCTTTCCCCACATCGCTATTACGACAGCCGCTTTCGTGAAGCTCCTTTCTACTTCGTCGTTTCACGATTTCATGTTTTTTTTTCGATTTGTTGTGTTCGTGTTTCTCGGCTATCGTGTTTACTAACCATGCTGTGCTGGCCTGTCACCCACTTTCGGACTAAGCAACAGCATTGTGCCTTGGCCGTAGACAGCTGCATTTCATGCATGGCTTTATTAGAATAAGGCAGGTGTATCCAAGCGTCGATGGTGTCAGGTTGGTGAATACCTGGCAGGAACCAATCGCAGACGTTTTGGACAGCCCGGAAAAGTGGCAGTTGCATTCCCCAATGTCAATCACCTGACCTCCCTTGACCAAATAGAAATTTTTATTCCTCACCACCCAGGGCTTTATTCGCTGTTTGTTTGTTCTGGTGAAAGGTGACAGGCTAGTTTTTTACTCTAGCAATGTTTTCGTTCACTCACCCAGGCTTTGGCACACGTTTACGTGTATGAAATAAATAAATAAATAAATAAATAAATAAATAATTTTCCGTATGGGCAAACTATGCATTGCTCTGATACGCATTCTGTTCGTATAACCTATTTCGCACCAACTGCTTCTTGATACTTTCGTTCGGGATGTTCAGCAAATTTAATAACTTGGAAGATCAAGCTCGACTACACTTAACGCACTCTTGCCTCCACCTTTCCAGAGATAAAGCTTTTCTGGGTTTTTGGCACCGGGTCTCTGATCAATGAATAACAAGCAAAACTTGAATACATGCTGATGAATGTGGAAACCATAATAAAGGCGTTTTTTCTCCTGAACTCCTCTGTGATTCATAAACAGGAGAATAATGTGATTAAAAAAGTCAGTTGTTTGCCCGAAGACTCTTTTCATATTTTGCTACTCATTGTCAATAGCAGTAGAAGTACAATAATCGACTGGACATCGAGCTTTCCGGAAGATATTACTTCAGTGGCTCAAAATATATTTTTAAGCAGTCTTCATTACAGTTCTCTACCTTTTCATCCTACGTATATTCTCAAGAAAATTAGTGAGCGGTAAACAAAAAATATGACTTTATTCCTTTCTACTTTCCAGGCTTCTTTTACAAAACGATCAAACAGTTTTTGGCAAAGCTTCGAGCAGAAAGATCATTCGGTACCGCTTTGGTGTCATGCTGCATTCCAAATAGACATTCAAATTAAAATATTTTCCTGAGTGCTTCTCAATCGACCCACCTGGTACTACGATTCCTAGGTATTCGCACAGCTTCGTAGTCGCATTACAAGTTGATCCTGGGTACGTAGTGCACTTCGAGTCCTTCGTACATGGAGTCCCTCTTTCGTAGATACTCTGACCCTTGACTGGTTTACTGAATGGAACAATTACTGCAGCCTGTTTAACAGTTCCTACTCCATTAGATAAGGAGAACAGCGTATGTAGTGGCAAGCTAAGCGCTCAAAGTTGTCTTCTGCGCAAAATGACGGATAAAGGATAAGCAAAAAGAAGCCGTAAATTCCAAGAGTTAGAAAGGAGGTTTTGATTAAATCTATAATTTACGAAGATGTGTTGTGTTTTAATCCTGTCGAAGAGTAATGCGCTTTTTCCCCGACTCATATTTGGTTCGATGACCTCACAACTATACGAAGCGCGATTCAAGTCGCTTACTAATCCATACTGCTTTTCTTTCAAACGTTCGAATTTTAGCGATGCATTTCATATAAACTTGGCCTTCAATTTGTGAATGTCAAATGTTTTATTTAGGTTTATTTGGCTTACTGAAGACAATACAAATTAAGAAAAAAACCATCATGATATCGCTATTTGTTTAGAAAAATGTGCATGATAATAAATAAATTAATCTGAAGTAAAGAGACAGATACAGCATTTCTGCACAGCATTTTGTTCCGTCTTTCTTTTTCTGTTAGAGTTAAGCATGATCGTAATTCAATAGGGTCATATCATCGAGGCTCTACCTACGTAACAGATATCTCACAAAAAAACTTTTACCCAATAATCGCTCAAATTTATCGGAAATTCTTTTGACCATTTCAAAATTGTAGCATCTTCTTAGACTCAAAAGAGAATCGTAAGATTGTTGGGCAAAACTAAAGTAATAGTTGTCCCAAAAGTAAACCGCATCTCTGAATAAATCAAATTGTTTTTGTTTCCCTAACGGGCTCAAGGTACCATTCGGTAGAGAGAAGCAAGCTTTACAAAAAGACCATTAAAGGACCACCTGTGTTGTAAATCAATAAAATTTGAATCCCAAAAATCAAAATTCTTGGCTACATAAAAATCGTATCTCCTTCAGAATTCTCCGGACCTCCTACTTGGTCATTGTACAGTTAGAAACGTAGTAACTCCCAAAAATGTACTTGGTGGATTTTTCCGGGGCTCAAACTGAGGAATTATGGCTCGTAGTTGCAAAAATGTCAGTTTTTCGGTTTTATTTCTGAACCTGGTGTTCCTTGACCAAAAGCATAAACAGGGGTAAATTTGTAAGAGTGCGCTAACCCAGGCTTGTAGGATACAATAACATATGTGGGAGGGGTTGAGGGCGTAGTTTGCCATTTTAAACTACCTATTTTTTTCGCTTTTTAAGCTTTAAGCTTTTCAAAAAAATCCGGTAAAGGATATTTGTGTACTACTATGTGTTGCTGTACCACGACCAAGTTTGAAGTCCGAGAATTCATCTTCGTAAAAATCCAATTTTTAGGTGACAATTTTTTTTGATTTTTGCTCCAACTTTACCTCGATCACGTCTTAGACGAATCTTTGGTGGTCATCTGACAGAGCTTGCTGCGCTCTATCGAATGCTACTCTAAGTCTGCTAGGAGGACAAAAACAATTTGATTTATTCAAAGATACGGTTTACTTTTGAAACAACTTACTCAATAGGTGGTTAAAGTTCTGTTGAAAGTTGCATATTTTTGGTTCAAAATGCTATTATTTCAGAATCAAGGCGTTTTAACAAAGTGAAATTCGTATGATTGAACAAATTTATGGCTATTACGAGGACAGTATTGCTATGGAGGACGAGTGAGAGAGAAGAGGAAATTTGAAGAATTTAGCAAGGTTTCTTCAAAATAGTCTAGTTCGACACATAGTAGTGCTCTCATATACGGATAGGCAGACATAATTGGTCCCCATCGTTGAGTAGCCTATATTTCAAAAATTTATGATAGGTAAAAAGAAGTTGTGTTGTTTTTGCTTCTAGAAATTTTTGTGAGCAAACTAAAAAAGCAAGTTGAGCAACCCTCCGCGCTCGCAAGTATGCCGACTTCGATGGTTTTTTTTGTATTTGTGCTGATGATAAAGTTATTTGGCTGAAGTTCCCTGTTTCCTCTTGCTTTACTCTTACGTACAAAAATATTTGATTACATCAATTCTCACTCTGTGTAAATTTTTGTCGCCTTCAAAATAACGGAGGGATCTTCAGCCTTCATTGACAAATATGGGGAATTAGACATGTTTTATGTGGAAGCAAAGTGTGTCAATCTTAGCACATTACGACTCTACCAATTACAAAATTCTACATTTTCAAAGTTTACGGGCGCTAGATTTAGTTCAAAGAAACCATATCTTGTGCATAACGCATTTTGGAAAATTGAGTTCAGGGCTGAGACAGCATCGAGGAATTGGCTCACCAAGAGTCAATGAGTATTGAAAGAGCAAGAAAAATGCTTTTAGACGGTGTTCATATTACTGTAATAAATGCAAAATTCTTAGATAGTAGATACGCTAAAGCAAGACAACCAAAAATCGGGCAGAACTTTCGGAACAGTCTAGCATTAGCAGCTGCACCCGAAGACTTCCGGAATATTCGTTATTATCGCCTTGTTTTAGCTTATCTCTCCAAGCGACGAATGCACGGATAAATGCAGTGAGCGGAAATCGATGATTTACTCAATAAAACACGAGTCCAATCACTAATAAAGGTATTTTCCAGGCGCTTTTGAGGTGCGGAAAGGGTGCGACAGTTTACCACCCCAATGCTTAGATAGTATACATCTCTTCAAAACGTATTTGATTCGTATATAAGGACACTTACACGTTGAAGATGCAGGAGTAATGAATATAGGTGTTAGTTGCATCCTCCTTGTAAGCGCATGCAACTTTTGTAGCCTTCGCATTGACCATCTAAACTTCTCAAACAAATCTTGCAAGTTTCAATCTTATATATTAGGTCGTTTCATAAGTTCGTAGACTTTTTATTTCAGTACCCATTTTTTGATGAAGCGGTTGGTTTACGGCAACGTACCTGTACCATTCGAAAGAGCTAATCATGCTCTACAAGAAATGCTCTTCGTTTCCGGAGCAAACCTAAATCCCTTTGTTTTATGGTCTTTCAGAGCAAAGTTTTTTGAGGGGCACAAACTGGCGATTGCGGCAACTGCGTTTTCCATATTTGGTCCATATCCTGCAAAATTTTATCCTCGTGTGTGAGCGGAATGAAAAGTAGCAAGCAAGACTAGTACACTGATAAATTTTTAGCACGCCAATATGCTAAGAACTGTGTAAACAGGGCTTCCTTGGGTGCTGTCTTTGGCTGCTACCGCTTAAGACTTTCGCGCTGTTTAACGACAGAATGTGTCGGTCCTCCTATCGGGCCTTGACGAACGATGGGTTCTTCTAAGTGGTGTAGATGTATGAATACAAGCTCTAACCAACATTTGACGCTTTACCAATTTTTTTTGGAGTAGGGAATTCTCTAAACTGGACCAAACGCAGTACATCTACACATATGGTAGAAGTGCGCTCTATCCTTCTCCATAATGTCTCTTTGGATGAATAGACTACTTTTATATGCACCATAGTCCCGTAGACAGTTGTTTTTCATCACTTATAACAATTTTGGACGAAAATTTCCACTTATGATTTTCATATATAAATCGAAAGTTGCAGGTGCCGCAAACACCAGTTTTTGCCCCTCAAAAAACTTTGCTTTGAAAGGCCATAGAACAAAGCGATTTAGGTTTGCTCCGGAGACGAACAGCATTTCTTGTAGAGCGTGATTAGCTCTTTCGAATAGTACAGGTACCTTGCCGTAAACCAACCGCTTCATCAAAAAATGGGTACTGAAATAAAAAGTCTACGAATTTATGAAACGACCAATATAAAGCTGAATGTCTGTTTGTCTGTCTGTCTGTCTGTATGTCTGTCTGTCTGTCTGTATGTCTGTCTGTACGTATGTTCCGAATAGAAAATTCCATTTCTGAACCGATCGGGACCAAACTTGGCACACATACACTTCGGGCCCCGGCGGGTGTCATAGGCTACTTTTCGTCATCGATCGATATTGATTTTATCGATTTTTTGCAAAATTTGAGCTACAGGGCTGGGAGTTGGCACAGGGGGGTAATCGAGCATGCTGATCACCCCCGTGGGGGTGTCGATTACACCCCTTGCCAGATTCCAGCCCCCTAGCTCAAATTTTGCAAAAAATCGATAAAATCGACATCGATCGATAACGAAAAGTGGACTGTGACACCCGCCGGGGCCCGAAGTGTATGTGTGCCAAGTTTGGTCCGGATCGGTTAAGAAATGGAATTTTCTATTCGGAACATACGGCAGAGCCAGGTAAGCCAGCTAGTTTGTGATAAAAACTAAGTCATGCTTTCGACATAGCTTGCTTGACTTACGTTAGCAAAAAAATCCAAACCACCCTTGTACGTTTGATTCTTGTCGAGACCACCGACATATGCCACTTGATTGAACCACTCTGTTTCCGCCATCATAGAATAGCCTTCGGGATTTTTTGATGCAAGCAAGGATTTTGCAAATCTAGAAAATCCAATCAAGATGCTTTCAAAAACTTTTCCGGTGTTAACGAGCCATCTCTCAAGTACTCATTATCTCCTGGAACACCATTTTTTTCGTTTAGGCGATCTACTTTGAAGTTGAAAGATTACATTACAAAGCATGAGTGCCTGTCACACGTCGAGCAATTTTTATAAGCAGCACAGTGTAAGGGTAGGCAAAAATTGCTTTTTGATCATGATATGATCCTGCACCATGTTTGACTTACAAAGAAAGAATACTTGGTGACCGCGGCCATTTGGAATGCGATGTATACCGTAAGATGCATCTCGAACGCTGATTCTAAATCTATAATCGATATCTGCAAAACGACCTTCTGAAGGAAGTTATAAACTTTTCTCTTAGAAAATTTGTGCACTTTCGAGTAGTTAAAATTATCAATTTTCTGAAGCTATTGAAGAGAATTGTAAAAAATACTATTGTAACATATCTCTCTAAATCATATTCAGCACTTAGAAAAGAAAAAATTTTTGTTGATAATTTTGACCCTCCATAGTAGCGCAAATTGTTCTTGAACAAATAATCATAACTCCATCCAAATTACCGTTTCGCGGATACGGAAAACAATGTTCGAATCAGCTTGGAAGCCGCACACTATACAAATCATCACGAATGGCCGCGATCGCTAAATATGATGCAGTAGTACTTCAAGATGCAGTAGTACTTGAAAATTTTTATCTCACGTAGCAACAAAGCTTAACGACCACATACCTACGATTAGTGTTGTAGTAAGTGTTTGGTTTTATGAAAGCGATGACGCAAAGCTTATGAATCTACCACGTGGGTGCAAAAGTTGTTTCCATTTTTTTGGAACAAACTGCATGCCCCTTAGAGAAAGGATAAAAAATTAAAGCAATATGTAATGCAAAATTTCTTTTTCTCGGTGGAGGGAGGAAGAAAGGAAAGAAGCTGGCATGTGTCAATGATCATTTCTTACCCTCGCTTTTGACCCGACGCAGACGGAACTTTAGAGCAATTCCTTGTTTCTTGCCTTGAGTTGTAGCGTAGAGTTGAATAGATTTATTCAGTTTGGAATGTTGCGGAAATAGGTTGAATCAAGCAAAAAAGGAGTGCAAATGTGAAACTTCGAATATTTCACGTTTTTGTTACAATAGCATTATATGAATAGCACCTATCATGTCTCATCAAAACTTATTCTGCCTAGCATTTATTTTAACTTTAATGCATTTTAGTCTGAAATTCGTGGTTTGTAGAATTGCGGTAATAGTGCGTGCGGGGCAGTAGCGGCTGGCACTTGCCATCGTTCCTCTTGCGCAAACCCCTTTTCAGCAAGTAAGTTTTCAAGGTGATTTTTTTGACGAATACTGAGGTAATCGCTTATGTCTCCGACACTTCATTTTTATCATGTCTAAATTTCGCTATTTTCCAGTATTTTAATTTAGGACTAGAGCTGCTTTGATGGTGATGGTCAGATAATAAAACAAACCTTTGCAACTTTATGCAATCTTCTCAGACATTGGGAGCGGACGAGCCGCGGCTTATTACAGGCTGGAATTTCGCAGCCCCCGCTGGCCGACCGGAGAGTGGGCCTCGGCTCGTCCGCTTTTGGGCCTCGGCTCAGCCGGAGCTGGTTTTCGGGCCGTCCGTAATTCATTCTAGCCCAGCCTAATTGGGCTTTGGCCCACCATTTATAGGGCTCCCCTTTGTCACTAAATCATATAGAGTTTGATAGCCTAAGCAGGACACAAATAACGGTAGAACCGTCTTTTGTTTGCTGGCACATAATGAAGACAGTAAAAAAGACCAAAGATTGTGGCCACGATATAGCGGCTTCGGAAGCCAGGTCCGACTTTATGATTGGATAACTCCAGATGCTATCCAAGGTTGTTTACAAGACAACATATTGGTCTTCTGCCTCAGAGACTTGAAACACATCCAAGGCTATGGAAATTGAGGCTGGCCTGACCATGCGTCGTACATCACGCAAGTACCCTTTACGCTAAGACACTAGAAGCGGCCGAGCCGCGGCCTTCATTTGACATAGGCCGCGGCTCGGCCGGAGTTTCTTACACGGATTTTGGTCCGCGGCTCCGCCTCAACATTAAGGCCGCGGCTGACTCGGTAAGCTATACTCAGCCCGCGGCTCGGCCGGTGCAGTGATAATGACATGAACGAAAGGCCGCGGCTCGGCCGCACTCCGCGCCACCAAATTAAGGCCGCGGGCGGGCCGAAAAGGCCTTTTGAGGCCGCGGCTCGTCCGCTCCCAGTGTCTGAGTTACATCTTCCCCACTTCTTTCTTACATTAGAGTTTTGCTGATTGTGTAGAAGTCCTCCGTTCTGAAAAAATCGCACGACACATAGCTGCACCAAACAATTCAAAAGCTTTAATACAGGGTGTCCCAAAAGTATGTATACACTCTTCAATCGCTAATAACTCTCTTGCTTTGATGCCTTTCGGAGAATTTAAGTACCATTCTGTAGAGCGAAGTTTAACTTAGATTTACAGTATGGAGCGAGTCACCCGTCTTCTTCAATACTGCAGAATTACGGTGGGAACTTTAAAAAGCCTTTTAAGCCATTAAGGACCTTATTTTGTCTTAGAAAGCGAAGCAGACAAACTAGAAACTCTTACACTAGGCGCTAAAGTCGCTGAAACCAAATATGAATTTTGCGTTTTACCACAATGCTTCCTTATAAGTTATGCCAGGTAAACTGCAATAGCTATTTTTTCACTGCTCTTTAAAACCGTGATTACACCATTTAAAAAGCTTTACAAACATGTGAAAAGTTGCGTTATGAAATTAGCGTGCGTGACTACCCTGGCACACCACTTTTTAGAGTTTTTAGAAACTTTTTTTTGAAACACGGCCAACCCACAATGACGTAAAGGCGAAAGTTCCTACCGTAATCTCACAATAATGAACGCGATGGATTTGATGTGATTCGCTCCATAATGTAAATCTAAGTTGAAGCCAGCTCTACGAAACGGTACCTAAAGGCAGGCAAAAGACTTCTTGGCGCGGTTAACTCGTACAGATCAACAAACCTTGGGAATAAATCCTACCCTTGAAGGTGCACCTTACCCCAGAGAGCGATATTAAGCGATATTAGCGAACTCATATTCACGAATGTGGCTCGTTAGGGTATTAACCCTAACACAAGATTAGATTCACTCTGACACTTTGTACAAGCAAATGGTTTCTCGATGTACACTCAATCCTAGCGATACTGTTTTGACATCAAATTTTTTATGGTTAGTACTATCTCAAACTTCATATGACCTCATTTCGTGTTTTCTTTTAATGTTATCATTCGACAGTAGAATGTCGAGTTGTCATAGTAAAAGATTCACTTTTGGATCGTACATGTCCGACAGATAGTATGACGCTCAACAACTTGAAAAATTTTTGTAATGTGGAACTTTAGTCCATTTAGTAGATTAGTCTTACTAACTTTAGTCAAACTTTAGTTTATACGTATACTCATTCAGAATGATTTGATGTGTCATCAAACTATCGTAGCTCAATTGGATGAGCTTGGAACTGACCAAACAAAATACTAAGAGAAATCATCCCAATTTTTGTAATATGTTTAGACGAGACGAAAAGGGGACTCAAGAAATTAAAGATAATAATTATCAGAAATAACTAAGACTGCATCGAGAGACCACTTCATGTATGTACTAAGTGCCAGGGTAGATTTAATCTTTCCATGCTAGGGTCAATATTAGCCCGCCACGTTCATGAATACGAGTTAATCGCTTTCTGTTGTAAAATTTACTCTCAAGTTTAGGATTCACCCTCAGAGCCTACCCTGTGCTTGGTGAATAGGGTTTATGCTTTTTGGGGTAGAACTTACTTTCAAGGGTAAGGTTTACCCTCAAAGCCCGCGGCGATTGTTTGAGGTGTGTTAGAGCAAGTTTTCTACCTAGCAAATTATTTCAACATTCGTTGAGATTGCAGGACGCTGAATTTTCAAAAAAAAACATGGAAGAGTTCTGTGTGTTGATATGCCGATCCGGGTATTACCATGGTTTATTTTACTTTAGGTTTCGAAACAGTCGTCATCTTCGGAGGTTTTTGATTCACTGCGATGTTAGTGAAGAAGTCAGTAGCTGCACAAAGAACACAGACGATACTGCTATTCATACCATCAATCATCTGTTACTGACATGATGATATTATTATTTGACTTTTTATAATACATAGATCAAATGCTCCAGAATGCCCAAGTTCAAAGAAGAAAGAAATTCAAGCTCAACAAGTAAAATTTTTGAGATGATACGCTATAGCTGTCGTTGACAAAAGAAGACTGCAAACGTTGCAACGCTGACGCCAAGACCCCACATACATCTTAAATTCACTTTTCATGCTTAAGCAATAAAACGCAGGAGAGGACCCATCTAACCATTCACCAAGCGTTTAATTACTAGAGATCGTCCTCCTTACAAATAATTCAAGCTAGCTAGCTGTTTTCTAGTACACTCAAAGTAAATTCGATAAAGCAGATGAAACTCTACAAATGGCTACCAAGGATCCGCTTGAGTCGCATTTCAGGTAAATTTAAAGCCAAAATCGAAGAAAGTTTTGTCACCTGAAAGCTCGAGTTGGAGGAAAAATTCCTACCGACCTCCTATTTTGTCATTTTACAGCAGGCACATAGTAGTATTCAAATTTGCCTTTATTAAATGAGAAATACAAGTTTTACATGAAGAAAAAAGTGACATATTGACAATTTCGGACCATTTTGTTTCTCATTTTTGAGCCCCGCAAAACTCCACCAAACAAATTTTGGATACTACTAAGCGTCTACTATATAAAAACAATGTTGGAAGTCCGTAAGTATTTTCTGGAGGGTTTATTCTGGAAGATCCGATTTTTAGAGTAGCTGAAAAATTTTGGCTTTTCGCTCCAAACTTCACTTAATTTACAACCTAGGTGGACCTTTGATGGCCTTTTTGTGAAGCTTGCTTTTCTCTACCGAATGGTACCCTAAGTCTGTCAGGGAAAAATAGCTTTATTTATTTGTAAATGTAGTTTACTTTCGGGGCAACCTAGAAATTCAGAAAGGTTGACCCTGTAGACATATTGATAGTAATACGTTAAATGCTTAGAGCAGTCAAGACCATCTAATTGTTAAAGTATTTCTAATTCTTTTCAAAATAGTTAGAGAAAGGCTAAACAGGACGAAGGCGAGAGTAACTGTCAAAGCACCATGAACTCCGCCCTCCCAATAAAATGGGGGTATTAACGACCGCTTGAAGTTCGTAATCTTTGAGGAAACTTACATGGCGTAGTTTTGCGCATAATTCGTGGTCAAAGTCAATTTTGCCTTCGCCGGATTAATGGCGTCGGTAAGTTGTTTTTCCATTCCGCAGTCCCAAAACTGAAACACGCAGCAGTCATCAGTTGTTAATAAAAAAAAACTAATGGAAACTTTAAACTTTTGCCAAGGAATCTTTGCATGACAGTGCTGTTTGTGGCAAATCAAACAAATTCTCATGACGAATTTCCCGACAAACCACTGCTGGCGATCCGGAATATGGGAAAACACACAAAGTTCATATCTCATCGGAAACCTGCTCAGACTGCTATAATAGATTCGCAACGCAACTTTAGGCTTGTTGGCTTGGAAAGGAGCAATAATCCTCTGAACCCACTGTTCAAGACAATGACAAGTTCAGTGAATGTAGCAATGCGCCGCCATTCATTATGCTATCGAAAAAAATTGGGATATCAAAGCTTCCGACAAATGAGTAGGCAACAGGCAATTCAAACATCAAAACACCAAGGTTTAAGACTTCCTGTCAAAGCTTCCCTCTTCTCCCTAGCAGGTATGCTATGCGAGAATTGGTCCATTACTATTACAATGATTAGTCCCTTTGGGTCAGTTCTGAGAAAATTTCCTACTCTAATTGTAGAGTGAAAGCGCACCATTTTTTATCAGCGAACACCTCAAGGGATATTGGGGTTGGAGGATTTGTACCGTGCTGCGTTTTACATATGAGAATTACGACGCAGCTATCGTTAATCGAGGCTCAGCGGAGCGTCTTAGCCGCTGGCATCCACAAAGGCAAAAGCTGCAACCTTATACTCATGAAACTAAATTGAGAGATGTGTTTAAACTGTCACATCCACTCTTTCAATAAAGCTGGAAAGACCCACCAATTTGTACATGTTCTTCGCTTTTTTCAGGTACTGCTTTTCAAGATCCTTTTCATTGACTATATTCTCTCTGACCTTGTTGAAAACATCGAGCATTTTGCCCCGGTCTGCTTTGCTGGGACTTGATGATGGTAATCCAAATCCTGTGCATTCTGCAAACAGTTATGTTGTTGTGTACTTTCGTAATGAACGACTACTCCTCTTCGCTTCTTACAGCCTACTGTAACGGACATGGTGAGAACGTTGAATGAATTTTTTTAAAATGACCAATATATTCTGCTTTTTGTGCAACCAGTCCAAAGCGCCGCTTCGAGAAGCTTTGGACTGGCTGTGTGGAGTGGGGATGTGACTAAAATTTAGAACTTTTGAAGTTTTGTGGTAAATTTTTTCCTCCTCAAAATCTGGTAGGAACTTTTAAGACACTTGACGAACTCGAAGAATATTCATGTCAAAAGCAAACCAGCAGAAGGCCGTCTCTGGAGTAAACCCATCTCCAGCTGCTACTATAGAAACAGCATGTTATGTGCGGCGGCAAATGCTCCGCAGAACAGCTATTAGCTTACACGTTCTCTGCGTGCAAGTAGTTAAATGCAAAGCGTAGGCCCTGTTCTATAATGGTCCGTTGGCGGTCTAGCAAGCCCTTGAGAGTAACCTTGAGAGTTACAGCTGCGCTTGTCAATAGTTTCTCACTTACGGCAACTGTACGATTCCTCTTTGCTTTTTTTCTGGAAAAACGATTAGCATCTTGTGAGAATGCTATCTCTGCTGAGCCTGCTCTCCAAATCCGCCTCATTTCTACTACCGTTTCTATTAGCGCTAGAAAGTTTAGCGTTTTTTGGAAAAGAAACGTTTTATCTGGTTGCGAGTCATGTATAACTGTTCTTTGCAATATTCCTCCTTTACATTTGAGAAAACATGGCTATGGTAATGACGGCGCGAAACTTTTTTTGTTAGTCTGTATTCAACGCAAAGTCTCTCGTACAGGAGAAGTATTATGTAAAGATTTTCAAATTTTTTGCGTGAAGGGGAGTGTAGTATTGGCATGCATACTGGCAACTGACTGATGGGCTGATAATAATTTCATTTACTCATCATCTCTTATTTACATCATACTCATCATTTATTGCAAAGTCTCTCATACGCGAAGAAAATTATGTGAGGATTTTCAAAGTAGCGCAGTTCCAAACAAATTTTGTTTTGAAGAGGAAAATTACTTACCTATGTTTTCGGCATTCGTGTAAGTTATACTGCTAAAAAGGAGAAGTAGGTGAGTCTATAAAATCTCAAAAATAGAAAGAGTATGCGAAATGTAAGTGAACCTACCGCTACTACCAGTAATAGCTCCATTTTGAATTTTTTCTCTCCGCTGCACTTTTATGCTTATCTTTGTGTACATTTTTCCAGCTGTTGGGCAGAGGGAAGCTAAATCATATGCTATCATATATCTCTCTATAAAAAATGGAACCATATTGCGAAATGCTACAGTAGTGTAAACATTGCAGTTGCGGAAAATCTTTGCCTTCTTTCAGGATTTGATTGAATTGAATTGAGTTTACTTGAAAGCATAGGTTTTTATCTAGCCTTTCAGACTGGTGGGATAACATATGCTGCACAAAAGAGTCTGCAGCGTTTCCCTACATTAATTCGGGACGACAGCAAGATCCGTACTTCTTGAACCTGTTGCATGAGCAGTGTTTCACTCAGGCTCCAAAAACCGTCCGCATCCTCATTTGTTCATACTAGCCTAGATGCCGCCTCTATAGCTCATTGTCATTTATTTTGCATTGGCCTTTTCAAACGGATGTCACTACCGGCTGAATCTGAGCTGATGTTATACCTTGACACATCAAGATTGTTGTTTAGCCACAATTGTGTTTCTGTGTTTATTGTGTTTTTTGCACCTTGAAAGTGCTGCATAAATGACTAAACAAGTAAGAGCAACACCATGACTAGTTCGGGACCAGCTCGAACTCGGAAGATTTTGAAACATAGCCCCTTATAGACAACTTTCCCCCCCTCCCGTTTTCACTATATCCCACTTGTTTTTCCGTTTGCGCTGTCACTCACCACTAGAAGGTGTAAGGATGAATACCTCAACTCTTCCTTCCTTCCTCTACCCACCCAACGAACTCCCGTTCCGCTTTTCTGAAAGTGATATGTTCAACCAAAAGAAAACATAAAAAAGAAAAGTAAATAAAAAGGCAAGCATAACCAAGGCCGAAGTTCACTCTCATGAACCCGAGAAGTTTAGGCAGCCCTTTTGCTTGCAAAACTTGTCCCATCAATATTCCCGCATGAATATTGAATTCCATGTTCAATCTATTCATTGGCGTGTCTAGAAAATTCGTATGTATGTTGCAAAGTCCGAGATTTCGTTTCCAAAACATGTCAAAGCCACCTCGTGCCGAGCCTTGTTGTCTATCGCTAATCTATCATCGCGGGAATGTTGAAGTGGAGGGCGTAAAGTTTTCGTGATCTTTGACTCAACCAGATATTTTCGTTTTTTAAACGACTACGAAGCTACTGAAATAAGTATGAAAGCTTTTTGATTTGCGTGATGGAGATGGGTTTCAAACCCTGCTCATGAATATCACATTACATCGCACCCTGAGGACCTTTGGCAATGGGTATATGTCATGAATAATGATGTGTGATTTGGTAACGTTTATTTAATTGTTTATCACATGTTTATCACATGGGCTTTATCATATGCAAAGAAATGTTGGCTAAATAATGAGTTATTGTACACCATAACAAAGCGCAAACGGACTCTTACGCTTCGATCTTCTATGTTTCACTTTCCTTTGTGCCTTGTACGTATTCGATGAATTATCTAGATAGGACGTAACGTCCTCTATGTTTTCGAGTGTCGCTTTAGCTGGAAGTGAAACGAACAACGAACATGAAACGTTTGTCTGCCGTAAAAAATTGCCACACTTCTTTCTTCCTCTTTTCTTATGTCAACAAATGAAGGAAAGAGAGAAAATTATATCAATAGCGGCCGATGCTGAACTATGAACTATATATTTGTACATATGCCACATGATCATGACGAAAACCTTGTAAAGAATACCTTACATGATGATTTTGCAGAGAAATTAAAAATTTAACTGATCCTGAACTGAAACATTGCACGTATAGTTTTTACATGCATTTTTACTCTTTGAAATGGGTGTGCCGTAAAGCCCGGAAGCAGACTGTCCAGTAGCGAAAGTTCAAATCATGGCTCGGCACGAGGATGGCAGATGCTAAATTAGCAATCATCTTGGAGTAAGAAGCGGGGGGGGGGGGAGGGGGTAAATACACGTTTACAGATATGTTATACACGCTTTCCAGACAAGTTATTACATGAGACGTGCAAAAACACGATGTTGTGCATTATTTTCAAAAATCCTAGTATTTTTCCATCAGTCCATTAATTAAGTGCTTCGTCTACACGCGCATATAACCGCATGATTCCGAATTCAAAGTATGAACAAGGGCTAGGAGAAGCGCACTGCGAGTATTGTGGAAAAATATGTGATTGAATTTTCCACGTACTCTCTTCTTTAAACCTGGGCATGTTGCATCGAATATCGTGTATTGTTCTTCTGCCAACCAGGTTTGTGGTGGATCTTTATTGACCTTACGTTTCGCCTAATATCGTCTTCTTCGGAGGTCTGAAAGGAATTGCGGTGATGTTATCTGTATGTCTATACGACCGAACGCCTCATCAGACTTCCGTCGTTTGAACCTCGTCTGGGCGCAACGTGCCAAGAAGCAATCCGAAATGAATTCACCAACCTCTAATCCACCATGGAGTCAGTAGTCCGCACGGATGTGACGGACATCACTGAGGTTGCTCAGTGAGTCAATGAGTATATATACTGTGCGGATTAAGATCACATAATGACATAAGAGGCAAGAGATCAGTCGTTATCGTCACGCGCTCATTTTTGTTGTTTATACCCGGATTTCCGGCGTAGATCAACGCGGCCTCTAGCATTTTTCGTGCTGAAATCCCGACCTCCTGCGCTAAAATTGTACATTTCACGCTAAAATCGTCACCATCGTGTGCCTCAATCTTATGTTTGCCCAACGGTGATGACACGACACGTTTCCTCGTTTCCTTTTGTTAGCCAGGTTTTCTTACAGTTGGAAAATGGGGTGATACTGGTCAACATTCCTAGCAGTAACATCAGAAAGCGGTTGATCAGAAACTGAATGTACGACGTAGAATGTTTGTCAGAAAACTGCATCGTCTACCCTTATGGGAATAGGCGACTGCGCGAAGGAGGGTATCGTTTATCAGCTGGAATGCTTGAAGTGTGATTCAACGTATATAGGAGAGAATGGAAGAACTCTGAGTGTTAGATTGTAAGAACACCTGGCTAACAAAAGGAAACGAGGAAACGTGTCGTGTCATCACCGTTGGGCAAACATAAGATTGAGGCACACGATGGTGACGATTTTAGCGTGAAATGTATAATTTTAGCGCAGGAGGTCGGGATTTCAGCACGAAAAAATGCTAGAGGCCGCTTTGATCTACGCCGGAAATCCGGGTATAAACAACAAAAATGAGCGCGTGACGATAACGACTGATCTCTTGCCTCTTATGTCATTATGTGATATTAATCCGCACAGTATATATACTCATTGACTCACTGAGCAACCTCAGTGATGTCCGTCACATCCGTGCGGACTACTGACTCCATGGTGGATTAGAGGTTGGTGAATTCATTTTGGATTGTTTCTTGGCACGTTGCGCCCAGACGAGGTTCAAACGACGAAAGTCTGATGAGGCGTTCGGTCGTATAGACATACAGATAACATCACCGCAATTCCTTTCAGACCTCCGAAGAAGATATTAGTCGAAACGTAAGGTCAATAAAGATTCACCACAAACCTGGTTGGAGAAGAACAATACACGATATGTGATTGAATGTTGTGGCTTTTTTATATCCTTTATTACGGAATGAAAATATGACTCCGCAGCGCACAGATGACGATATGGCACAAGATTTGGTGTGTTTATGCGCGTGAAACTAACAAGGGAATGGTCAGAAGTCGAAGTGGCCAAACCAAACAATCTGTATACCATTCGATGCAGTATAAAACGCTGATTTCGAATCTGTCTTTCTTATCTGCTTCCCGCTTCTGTGGACGAAGCTACAAGCCATTGAAGACCATCATTTTGCTAAGAAATTACGCGTGAGATGGAAAATTTAGCCGTGCAGAGCCACGTTCGCCTTAACGCTGAGCCAAAACATGCGTCTAGCCTAATTCAAATTTCTAAAGAAAGAAGCTGAGCTAAAAGTGCAACAGTGTGCTCAATTTCGCTATATTCATGTGTGATTTTTTTCACAATAAAACCGCTTGTAGCTTCATCCACAGAAGAGGGAAGCAGGTAAGGAAGACAGATTCGAAGTCAGCGTTTTATACTGCATCGAATGGTATACAGCGTGTTTGGTTTTGCCACTTCGACTTTTGACCATTCCCTTGTAAGCAACAAAGTATGAAATATGAAAAGGTTATGTAAATGAAGGGCGAGTTTCACTTTTTTCCAAATCAGAGTGGCATATGCCATCCTGATGCTACCGTAAGGGTTTCAAAACTCTTCCTCTCCTCTTTGTTAGGTTCCGAATAAGCGACGACGGCGGTGGTTTTGGAGAAAAAAGCGCGCTCCAATCAGGCAACCCACGCAGCTGGCTCGATCAACTCAGACGTTCGTGGTTATAGTAATTTTCAACTCTGTTTAGGCGGAAGTTGGACTGGCGGTCCGCTTCGCTGCGATTCGCGCCGCTTTGAAGTCTGTGTCTCTTCATTCTAACTTATCTCGCTGAGCCAGTGGCGGTGCGGACGCGCTGCTCCACTTGAAATGTTTCGCCTACTCCGAGTTGAAAAAGAGTGTAGCTGCCGCAGTGGATGACCACAAAACAGGAGACCGCGAAGAGATTGTTACTGCCGCACACCCGCTTTTGTCGTGACTTTCAGGTTAATCGCGACACTAAAACCGAGGCGGGAGAAATTCGCAACATTCGCCGCGACTTCCGCTTTACTCGCGATTTCATATGTATGTAATCAAATCAAGCGCGGGAATCTGCGCGATTTGAACTGCGCTTTTTTTCCAGTGTTTTCGCTCTTCAGCCTGCTTTTGATTGCTTTCTTCACGTTTTACCTCTCCATTCTCACTTTACCTTAGTGGGCACCTCGATAGAAGTGTTTTTTCGGATTAGATTGATTGGTATGATATTATCCATGCTTTGGACTGACTTCTCGTGGTATCCTGACCGAGTTTTTCCTATTTTTTTTAAAGCTTCATCTGAAGTAATGTTAGGTTGGTGCAAAAGTTTTGTCAGTTTTTTCAA